TGGACCTACAGCTCCCATAAGGTTCCGTAGCAGCTCAGGCAGATACAGAGATTACTGTCAGCCTCAATCAAAACAAAAGATTTCAGTTCAGGTTGGCAAACCAAAAATCAAACATTTTGATTAGGAAAATCAAAATGTTTCTTTTCTCTCCAACATGTTGAAACTAAATATATCAATATTTCTGTATTAATTTTTTTCTGAACTTTTTGTTCTGCAAAATATTTTAATATTTTGACTTTTCATCCTGACTGAGGACAAAAACAAACGCTGAAATTTCAAAATTTCCTACAGGATGTAATTTCTGTTTTTTATTTGATTTTTTTTTAAAGGAAGAGAGAAATTAATTGCTTTTTAAAGCTATGTGGCTGTTAGGTCCAATCTTCTCTGGATACTTATGAGCAGTTTCCATATAAGTGGAGGGAAAAGAAAAGATAGATGGGGAGCACATGTCTATATTCAGATGAGAGGTCAACTTTTGCATATATATTGATACATCTACTAACATGTGTTTAAATGGCCTGTTCAAGAGCTTTTAAACAAGTTCTTTAACAATGACACTGGAAGACTTTACTTTATTTTATTTAAATTAGGTGGTCTGAATCTGGGCACATCAGATCTGCAGCTAACTTGGAATCTTAAACTTCCTATAAGAATAGTCTCCACATGTGTTCCTAAGCAGACACCTCACGATGGAGGGTCTGAGGAACATACACAGACACAAGTAGTTACAGATGTGTACTGGGTTTTTTGAACTGAATAAAAGATTAACCTGAAGAGTTATTGAAAAGTTAAATTCCTGTCTAAAGATGCCAGTTTCAAGGAAACAATATGCAATGGGAAAATAACTAATGGTCCATACACATTTGGGGATTGGGTGATTAATGAGTCACACATCAAATGGGTTTACTGACAGTACTATGTTCACGAAAGGTTAATTTGAAATTGGATTTTAAAACTAGACAATCAGAAAGATATAACATTTGATCGATTGAAGGACCATTTCACATGGTCAGCGAGATAGATTTGGAAAGGACTGACAGGACAAAATTTTCAAAGTTGGGTTCGGTGATGGGGCTTACTCCCATCACTTGATTGACAAGCTGGTTAGGGCATCTGTGATTGATTGCCTCCCTGCCAGAAGGGACAGAACTAGATAAGAATCATTAGGCACCAGGGTCTAATAGGGAAACTGAGGGAACTCCCTGGAGGAGAGACTGCAGAGGTGGTGGGATGTGCCTGTGAAGAGAAACTCACAGAGAGCAGGTCAGACTCCTGTGGAAGAAAAGCCTTGAAATAGGGCTTAAACAGGTAAGAAGCCAGGTAGGAGAATCCACAGAGAATAAGTTAGGCTTCTGTGGGGCAGGCCCTGAGATCAGGTCAGTAAAAGCACTTTAGTAGAACCTGAGGTGGAAGAGTGATTAGTTTAACAGAGAAAGAAAAAGCTGAGAGGACCTGGGGAGAAGCCTGAGAACCAAAGGGAGGCTGTATTAAGAACATGCTGTGGAGAAGCAGCACAAGGGGGCTTAGAGGTAGGAAGTGGCCCAGGGAAACAGGAGCATGTCTGAAAAAGCAGACCTAGCTGCTTAATATGAGGTCCCTGAGACAGAACCCAGAGTAGAAGGTGGGCCTGGGTTCCCTTAGCAGCTTCTGAGGAGGCGGTATGAAAGCCTAATGGAAGGAATATTGAGCCCAAGGTAGGAGTGAAGGCTGACCACAAAGGATGAGCTGAGGAATAGCCCAAGAGGGGGCTACAGGCTCTTTTGTGTTATGATGTTTTGTGAACTTTCCAGTTGGACCTTCTTGTTATCTGGAAGGGGACTGAATTTTATGTGACTTGGCCAGAGGGCTGAGCCATGGAAGACCTGGCGAGAAGATGGCCAACAGGAGGTGCTGGAGATGAGGAGCCCTTGCAGCGTTGCACCCTGACATAATGGAATACTATGGCTGGTGAGTACAGGACCATGGGGGTCCCTAAAGATAGACTCTGACGTCCATATTTATGTAATTAAAGTAGCTTAATTTTCAGAGCTGGATTTCTATGGATTTAGAAGCTTAACTTCAGACACACAACTCTGAAAATCTTAGCCATAGTCTTACAACAGGACACTGACCCTACAGGTAGGTTTACCTGTAGATAGCATTTAAGTACAATTTGCTACTAGTAACCCAAAGTTTTTTGCCTAAGCAAATTAGGTTTGTCCTCTATATTTTTCTAAACTCAGCCAAATATACTCTATTTAACTCTTACCTATCTTGATGATCACTCTTTTATTTTCTAAATTAAATAAGCCTCAAATATTTCATATAATTTGGTTTATGGACTCTGTCCTCAAGTGTCAACAGAACATTATTGGATATAGCAATTAATCTTAACAGGAGGCACAGAAAGGATTTATAGAATCATAGAATATCAGGGTTGGAAGGGACCTCAGGAGGTCATCTAGTCCAATCCCCTGCTCAAAGCAGGACGAATCCCCAACTAAATCATCCCAGCCAGGGCTTTGTCAAGCCTGACCTTAAAAACCTCGAAGGAAGGAGATTCCACCACCTCCCTAGGTAACCCATTCCAGTGCTTCACCACGCTCCTAGTGAATTTTTTTCCCTAATATCCAACCTAAACCTCCCCCACTGCAACTTGAGACCATTACTCCTTGTTCTGTCATCTGGTACCACTGAGAAAGTCTAGATCCATCCTCTTTGGAACCCCCTTTCAGGTAGTTGAAAGCAGCTATCAAATCCCCCCTCATTCTTCTCTTCTGCAGACTAAATAATCCCAGTTCCCTCAGCCTCCCCTCATAAATCATGTGCTCCAGCCCCCTAATCATTTTTGTTGCCCTCCATTGGACTCTTTCCAGTTTTCCCACATCCTTTTTGTAGTTTGGGGCCCCAAAACTGGACACAGTACTCCAGATGAGGCCTCACCAATGCCGAATAGAGGGGAACGATCACGTCCCTCGATCTGCTGGCAATGCTCCTACTTATACAGCCCAAAACACCGTTAGCCTTCTTGGCAACAAGGTCACACTGTTGACTCATATCCAGCTTCTCGTCCACTGTAACCCCTAGGTCCTTTTCTGCAGAACTGCTGCCTAGCCACTTGGTCCCTAGTCTGTAGCAGTGCATGGGATTCTTCCGTCCTAAGTGCAGGACTCTGCACTTGTCCTTGTTGAACCTCATCAGATTTCTTTTTGCCCAATCCTCTAATTTGTCTAGGTCCCTCTGTATCCTATCCCTACCCTCCAGCCTATCTACCACTCCTCACAGTTTAGTATCATCTGCAAAGTTGCTCATGGCACAATCCACGCCATCCTCCAGATCATTAATGAAGATATTGAACAAAACTGGCCCAGGACCAACCCTTGGGGCACTCTGCTTGTTACCAGCTGCTAACTAGACATGGAGCCATTGATCACCACCAGTTGAGCCCAATGATCTAGCCAGCTTTCTATCCACCTTATAGTCCATTCATCCAGCCCATAATTCTTTAACTTGCTGGCAAGAATACTGTGGAAGACCATATCAAAAGCTTTGCTAAAGTCAAGGAATAACACATCCACTGCTTTTCCCTCATCCACAGAACCAGTTATCTCATCATTAAGATTATTAAGTAACACATTTATTTATCTGCACCATAGCGTAGTCACAGATTCTGGCGCAGTCTAGTGAAGTGACTGGAAAGACTCCCATTGCCTTCAGTGGGGTTTGGATTAGAACCACAGTCACTGAACGCTAAGTATTACTCCACAGCAACATGACACTTAATCTTGAGACCTAGGTCTGTTTAGGTGGCATGCCTTTCCCTACATAAACTTGCATGCAATATATTAATAAAAATGCTCCTACCTACCGTCCAAAATTATAACAAAATTTTGATTCTGTTGATTCTAACACTTGAGAACAATGAAGTCGAGTTAAATAAAAGATAAATTGAGTCATGTTATTCTAAGTGATACTATGAATTATAATTACTGTAGTGAACTCAGACATTTTGGAGTTTGTACAAGCTGAGAAGTACTTATTTTTGTATGAACTGTTGGATTACTGGTCTGATGAATATGGGTATAGTTCCATTCAAGTTAGTACAGTGTGGTAGCAGGAGGCTACTGACCTGAGTTTGAGAAACTTAAAACTCATGAGTGCCCAAAATCACTAGAATGGATTTCATTTTACATTTTCCTTGTTGGTCTCCAATTCGTATACTGTCCAGGCTTAATCGTGTTCTGCTTGTGGGCAGTTCACTAGATCAAACAACCCATGTAGTATGGCTATGCACAGTTCATAAAGAGATTATACAATGTGTGTTCATTTATTTTAAATAAGAATTATATCATGCTGGTGGAAGGTGGCAGATTGATGGCCAAGACTGAAGGCTTATTTATGTACAGAATGGGAAGTGGCACTCCAAGCTTGCCAAAATTGGCCCATCAAAGTGCCTTACATCTGCCCTAGATGGACTACTTGTTTGAATGATGGGAGTATTTCAGTGTACACATTAAATGCTCTGCTGCCAGCTGTGATGGTGGCTTTTGTAGTGTGGTCTCTTATCCACTCAGAACTACCTGCCTGAAAACACCAACATACTTCACTTAGGCCGTCAGATACACTACACTGTAAACCAGGTTGGTGAGGAACCAGGTCGTTTTACAATCGCTGCAGAGGCATGCTCAGTGTTCAATGCTGGCTCTGAACTCCCCCAAACTTTGGGGGCGGCACGAGCAGGGGATGAGGTGATGGAGTAAGGCTTGAGGCAGAGGAGGGGGTTGGACGGGATAGATGGTAAGAGGGGGCAATGGTGAAGGGAGGGCAGGGGCTGGGAAGTGTAGGGGAAGGAGGCTGGAATGGAGGGCTGGAGGGACAGAGGATTAGGAGAGGGGACGGGGGCGAGGCGGGGATGGGGTGCAGACTGCAGAGGGTGAGGAGAGACTGGGGAAGGGGTTGGAATGGGGAGAGTCTCGCGTTCCCCCGCCCCCCTCTCGCGAGCTTTCTGCCGGTTCGTCTCCCCCCGCTCGCTCTGCCCGTCATTCGGGCTGAGCTGCGGCCATGGCCGCCCTGCGGAGCCTCCTGCGGTGGCGCCTGCTGGGCCCCCCGCACTCCTGGTCCCTGCCCGGCGGGCCGGAGCTGGGCAGGTCCCTGGGGGCCGGCGCGGGGCAGGAGTCGGCGGGGCCGGGCCGGCGGGGGGAGCTGGGGATGGCGGCGGGGGCGGCCGGGGGGGCGCTCGCCTGTTACCTGGGCTACCGGCTCTATGAGCGCCGGACCGGGCGGCAGCCGGAGCCCCCCCGCCCCCGTGGGGCGCAAGCAGCCGCCGAGCGCCGACCCGCAGGAGCCGGAGAGCCCGGCCCGACCAAGGGGCTGCTGCCCATCCCCGTAGCGGCGGCTGCCAAGGAGACGGTAGGTGTGTGATGCTGGTCTCTGACCGCCGGGCCATGGCTCGGGGTCTGGTGCCTCCCTGCTCCCCGCCCTTGGGCGGCGGTGCCTTGTGCAGGTAAGGGGGGCGGAGGTCCCAGGCAGCCCGTGTCCAGCAGGTAGATGAGCAGAGGTGGTGCCCAGAGGCTTGGCACCTGTGTGTGGCGCGCCCCTAGGATTGTGCCCCGTGTAGATTGATGTAGGTGAGTCGGGCAGAATTTAGGGAAACAGTTTCAGGTCCAAAACTCGTGTCCATTGTACCTTAAAGGAATGCTGTCATGCTCACAACCGAACTTCTTGTCTGAGAACTTAACCCCGCAGGTGACTGACTGAAAGATTGGAGAGAGAAATAGTTTCCGCTCTGTCTTTTCAGTTTTCAGAGTAGCAGCCGTGTTAGTCTGTATCCGCAAAAAGAACAAGAGTACTTGTGGCACCTTAGAGACTAACAAATTTATTTGAGCATAAGCTTTCGTGGACTACGGCCCACTTCTTCGGATGCATATAGAACTCCTCAATATTTATTCCACTCTATATGCATCCGAAGAAGTGGGCCGTAGTCAACGAAAGCTTATGCTCTAATAAATTTGTTAGTCTCTAAGGTGCCACAAGTACTCCTGTTCTTTTCAGTTTGAATATCTTGTGTATTTGACTACACACCAAATGCTGTCAGTGTCACTTTCTCCTAAATGGGCCCATCTGCATGAGACAAGTGCTTGGACTTGCCCGGTCTGTCAGATCAGGCAGAAAGTTAAAATACAAAAACAGAAGTGTAAAAGATGTCAACAATCTTTTTTCCCGCCTGTACTGTGCAATACAGTTATTTAATAATAGATGACAAGAAGTACGCTATAACAACCACTCCCCAATTTTGGATTCACTATCAAACGGACAATTTACTTTTTTTCACAGTGTGGAACTATCGTTATTAAATCAGATGTTTCATTCCATCCAGCTTGATTTAAAAAGTGTATTGTGCTACAAATGGAACTCCAGCTGATTGAAACACAGTTTTTGCACTGTTTGCTTATTAGTGTATTTAAAGCTATTAACTTTTTAATTCAATAATGTCTTCAGTTGGCAATTGAAAGATGTATCAAACTGCATAAGAAATTATAATCGTATACAGCTTTGTACATATAATTAGCACAATTGGTCATGTTTTGCAGATTAATGTGCTGGCTAACTGTACAGTAATAGAAAATAGGTGGGGAACTGAGGTACAGACTAAATGACTTGCCCCAGGTCTCTCAGGAAACTTGTGGCAGAGCAGGGAATTTAAGCTGGGTTTCCCAAAATATTTCCTTATGAAATCCCGAATGTTAGATGCCCTATCACAGGGGTTCTCCGCCTTTTTCTTTGTGAGTTCCCTGCAACGTTATAAAAACTCCACGAGCCACCTGTGACACAACAACTTTTTTCTTCATATAAAAGCCAGAGCCGGCATTAGGGAGTAGCGAGCAAGGCTATTGCCCAGGGCCCCACACCACAGGGGGCCCTGCAAAGCTAAGTTGCTCAGGCTTCGACTTCAGCCCCAGGTGGCAGGGCTCAGGGCCCCGGGCTTGAGCCCCACATGATGAGGCTTCAGTTTTCTGCCCTGGGCCCCTGTAAATCTAACACTGGCCCTGCCTGGCGGACCCCCTGAAAATTGTTTGTGGCCTACCAGGAGGCCGTGAACCCCTGGTTGAGAACCACTACCCTATCATATCTAGAACTGGGGCATAGTGACATGTTTAGTGCATAATGACATAAATATTGATTATAGAATGATTTTATACTGTAAGACTTATCAGAAAACATGGCACATTTTCACAAACAGTTTTTTACTACTAACACTAGTGATTTGACACCAACAGTCTCTCCCCTAAGGAGCTTCCAGTCTTGTAGACAGAATGCACAGGGAAAATTAAAGTAGGAAAATTGCTTGGGGTTTTGTCTGCTTATAACCTAATTGCCACCTGAGGCTTGTCACCCTTCAATCACACCATTTAACCACCATTCTTTACTCACCCTTTTTCAAACTACTCTCTCCCAAGACATCCATGTAGCATACCAAACATCCATAACTACTGGTGTTGAAAGGAAAAAATATTAAAGGGGAGTGTGTGTAGAAGGGCTAAAAGAGGGCAGAGTTAAAATTGCAGTGTGTGATCTGTGATATATGGTAATTCTTATGATGGTTAGGTTTGTGTCTGTGTATGGAACAATAATGGGTATGTGCTGCTAGGTGACTTAACTTTCACTTCCTTGCTTTTGAGCGTTTGTATCAAGTATGCTTGCTACACATACTTAACTTAATTATGTTTTTTCTGTATTAATATATATTACACACTAAGCTATGGTAAAGGTTGCAAAGTGAAGCACTGAAAAGTTGGGAAATTCAAGAGTTAAGGTTGCCTGTGCAACCTTAGTTCACTCCCCTTGTGCGTATATTTTGTGATTACATTGCTGCCCCCTCCCTAGGATCCCTGCCTCATTCATTGTGCAGACTGGATGATGCTCACTGAATGAGCAGTTATTCAATATTTTGTTTTCACTTTGAAAGTGTTCCCCTATGCCTGAACTTTTTTAAAAGCTAACAAAAGCAGGGTTGGAATGTTTAGATCTACTACCACTGCCACTTGAATTAATAGAGAAACTGATGGCCATAGTAGGTTGACATTCTCCATGTGTCTCAGCCACTAGAGGGGGCTAAGACACATACTTAGGGTTTCACAATATTTGCTAATAGAAAAGGAATGATGAGACTCAGAAATCTTGGATTCCATTCCAGGTTCTGGAGGGCAGTGTGCTCTACTGGTCACAGACAACCTCACAATTTGACCCCTTCTGCCCCTGTCTCTCCAGCCTGTTCCTGTCTTTCCTCCTCCTTCTCCAGATCCTCATTCCAGCCCCCGTACTCCATAGGAGTTTCCCAATCTTCCCTCCTTGGGCTTCCCTTCTTAGTCTTCCTTCCCAACTTATCTGCCCCAGCCTCTCTGACCAGCCAGTTCCAATCTCCCTGGTGCCAGCAGTTGGAGCACTGAAAGCACAGGAAACAGGGTGTCTCTTCTTTCAGTTTCAGTGTCTCATGTCCTTCAGGAGCCAGGAGAAGCAATTGCAGGGAAGTCTCTCTCAGTTCCTGCAGACCTGGGCTGGAGCATGCTTCGTGCAGATGGAGTCTTCTGAGACTAACTGACAAACAAGTCTTTACTGAGCACGTACGACTTGATTTTTCAAAGGTCGTAACTTGATCAGTTTTTCATAGGAACAGGAAAAGGTTGACACTACGGTGACTCCCTCTTCCAAACTTCAAGTTTGTGCGCCAAAGCATGGAGTTACTAGAGCATTTCAACAAAGGAGTTGGGAGATTTTTAACATGGGCAAAACAATTAGTTATTTCCCAAAGTGGGATTGGAAAAAAATTGAGTGATTCTTTTGCTGCAACTTTCTTAAAAAAAAAAAAAAAAAATACACACCACACACAACACCTCAGCTTGAGGCCTCTGCCTGCAATGGAAAATTTCAGCCTGAAAGGTTAAAACTTGTTTTAATTGTTTGAAACTTTACCAAAGTCCTATCATGGAAAGTGTTGGAAAACCTTAACTATACGCATCATTACCAGCTCTGCTTATGATACTGTATATAGGCTTATTTTCATCATAAAGCTGGTTGGACTAGTATTGAGTAGTGACCATTGTTTCTTTGTGGACAGCTGTAAACCTTCAGTCTTTGAGTAACTTGATTCCATCCAGTGTAGGGGTTATGAGGTATTAGAAACATTGGAGAAGAAGGTTTCTCCAATGTGACTGGCTGCGTTATGATCCTTGTATACTAACGTTTTGAGAGCTTGATAGCATTTCATAATGTGATGCAGTTATTGGACTGAAAAGAAAAATATACTTTGTAAAGTTTCTAGGATGGAGATCTCTCTATTTTAGGTACTTTTATGGCCCACATTACTGTAGTATCTGAGCTCCACACAATTTCTACTGTACCTGTGATGTAGGAGAAAATTATTCCCATTTTTACAGGAGGGAACTGAGGCACAGACTAAATAACTTGCTAAGGGTCTCTTAGGAAACTTGTGGCAAGGCAGGGAATTGAAGCTGGGTCTCTCAAGCCCCAGACTAATGCACCAACTACTGGACCCTTCCTCACTGAGATGAGTATTCCTCTTAATTAAGCTATACAAATATGGTAGCAAACCATCAGTATACCTCTATAAGATGTAACACCTGGGATAAAATAGCATTCTTATATTATTACTGTAGTACACAAACATGATACTGTGTACGAGTTAAGCTTGCTATATGCATGACATACCTACCACAAAAGCAAGGAAGTAGAAAAACTAAGGCAGCTGCTTCAGAGAGGATCCTGAACTGGCTGAACAGTTTCACAAAGCTCTTGGCCTTCCATGAACCAACAGCTACTACTTTGATCCTGTTTATCAGTAAACCCATGGTCTGGGCTGACTAGGGTGATCCAGCTTCCTCTGTGTGATTACCCTGCTCTCATTATTATTTACTCTCTGCCAGTCTGTCATCTGAATATTTTTATCAGGAATGACTTAATTTACCTCCAGATGATTGATGAAAATATTGGGCCTAAAACTGATCCCTGCAAAACCCCACTAGAAACTCCCCCCACCATTTGATTATTTTCCCCATTGGTGACTACTTTGTACAATTTATCAGTTAGCCAGTTCTTAATACATTTAGCATATGATCTGTTGATGTTCCTAGTTTTTAAATCAAAATGTCATGTGGTACTACAAAAGTCTACTTCTATGCAGTCACCTTTATCAACCAAACTTGTAATCTCAAGAAAAAAAAGTTTGTTTGACAAGACCTATTGTCAGTAAAACCATATTGACTGCCACTAATTCTATATTCATCCTTCAATTCTTTATTGATTGAATCCTGTATCTGTTTTCCCATTATTTTGCCTGGGACTGATGTCAGACCAACCACCTATAGTTACCTATGCTTCCCACTTCCCCTTTT